ATCAAATTTCAGGACTTTCATTTTCTTCCCAGGAAAAAAACATGGGTATAATTAAATGTATTTAAGTTAAAGGCCATGTCATTTTGGCAGTATTAGATAATAAGAAATGGAAAAAAATTAGGGTCTTCTATACCAATATATAAACCCAGGATTATAGAAAGGAGTTCTCAACAAGAATTTAGGAGACAAAGTACAGTTCAGATATAATTGGCTAGAAAAGAAAGACTTTTCGTGGGGCTTCCCCAGTAGCACTGGGTGCTCTGAAGGTCATGCAGTGCAAGACACAGAACCTGGGGTCCTGTGTACTAGTCCTTTGAATTATCTTTCTAGGTCCTAGGAAGGAAATCTTTTTGAAGCTGGAACCAGACTCTGAAGATTATCTTCATTGACTAGTTCTTTTACTTGTTTTCCCTTTGATAAAGGAAGAAATTGGGGCAAAAGATTATTTGAGATGCTTTGAGAGATTCAGTTGTACAAGTGAATGTCAGAGTTAAAAATTTTTTTCAGCATTGGGAAGAACTTTGGTGCTAACTATTCCAGTCTCACATTTCAAATATGCAGTGATGGAGGGTAAGAAAGTTTAAATGACTTTCATGAGGACCTGCAGATACTAAAATGCAGGTATAAACTAGAATAACTTCTTCACAAGGGTAAGTGGTGAAGAATACATTGCCTAGGATTCTTGCACATAGTAGCACTGTAACACTGTCCTCCTTTTGTTCATTGATTTGCTTTAGCGGGCACCAATAACGTCTCCATTGTGAGACTTGTTGTTACTGTTTTTGGCATATCGAATACGCCACAGGGAGCTTGCCAGGCTCTGCTGTGTAGGTAGTATACTCTCGGTAGCTTGCCAGGCTCTCTGAGAGGGATAGAGGAATCAAACCCTACTTGGCCGCAAGCAAGGCAAATGCCCTACCCGCTGTGCTGGAGCACATAGTAGGAAGTAAAAGAAAAAAATTGTTGAATAGATATATGAGGCATGCGCCAAATCATGTTGGCGAATAAGCTCAAGAGTTTTCGAAGACAGGCGTATTTTTTGTGGCTATCTGTCTCTTGGCATTCCTCGCACAATCATGGAGGTGCTGAACCAGTCAATCGTATTCCTCATCAGTGTTGTCGACAATGTTATCTTCCCATGTTGCCGCAATAGTGCCAAAGAGCTCCCAGTTGGTGGTCGTTCTTGGAATTCTCTTTTAAACTTTGCAGCCCTTTCTCCTCGCTCTGTGAAGTAGAATTTTGCACGAAGGAGACGGTGGTCCGATCCCGTTTGGAATTTTGGGACAACAGCGACATCAGTTAGGCAAAACTGTCGATTGAATATGATGTGGTCTATTTTGTTGTGGAACAGTCCACCGGGAGACTCCCATGTCCAACGTTTAGATTCGGCCTTCTGGAACTGTGAGTTACCATGGATGGTCTTGGTCGACATGATGAACTCAGACAGTCTCTCATCCTATTCGTTCCATTCTAGGCCATGGGTCCCGATGTGAGTTCTTCAGCTGATCTTCTTGGTCCTACCTCTTGGCATTAAAATCACCAACAATGATCTTGTAGAAGGTGTGGTCTTCTTTATAGAACTTCTCCAGCTCCATGCAGAACTTCTCAAATTCTCCTTCATCATAATTGGATGTTGGTGCATAGGCAACGAAGCTAGAAACTGCCGACAGTGAGCCACATCCATTCAAATGTAAACGTCTGATTAGGGTTGTTAGGCATTCAAATGAATCAATGCTCATGGCCAAGTTCATGTTGACAAGGACACCGATGCCTCCAACACCTCTTTTATCGCATGTTCCGAGGAACAATTCTTCGCCAGTGTCGAAAAACGGCGTGATGAGATTGGTGCCTTCTTGTCTCAGTATGTCGTACTTGATCTTTTGCGCTTGTATCATCAGGTCCTGGATGGATGCATCTGATGCTAGCGTACGTGAATTGAAAGTACAGGCGATCATTTTTGTCTTCCTTCTTTTTGACAGCCTAGTTCGCCCTTGAGATTTTATCAGCCTCTCCTTCCTCATCCTTCTCAACGCTGCCATATTGGTGACGCCTTCATGGTGAGGGAAATGAGACCCATTGTAATTACTGGTTTTGGCATATTGAATACACAACGGAAAACTCTTGAGCTTATTCAACAACGTGGTTTGGCACATGCCTCAGGCAACCGCAAGCAAATGTCCGAGCTTGCAAAGCAGTGCAGAAATGCGATCAAGGAAGAGCTCAAAGAGAGAAGAGCAGAAGTGCTGATAGATGCGGCAGAAGCCGGGAAAAGTATTCGTAATGCGCGCCTGTCCTTCGCCAACTACAAGACCAAATGTTATTTGCCTATTATATGTCAATTTAAAACAGAAAAGAAACCAACCATGGGCTGGAATACAGCAAATAGGGCATTTGTGTAGTATGTGGCTGACCTGGTTTCAACCTCTAGCACCACATATGGTTCCCAAGTCTGGCCGGGAGTTATCTCTGAGTGCAGAACCAAGAGTAACCTTTATATTATTCCATTCTTCTGAGGATCTTGAAAATAATTTATCCCAGGACTTCATCTTTGACTTGACGTTGGCCAATTTCTTTCTGTCTTTACATCATCTTCCCGTTTTCTATATGTCTATGTCAAAATTTCTTCTTCTTATAAGGAAACCATTTATATTGGATTAGAATCCACCCAATGAATTCATTTTGTGTAATAACCTTTAATTCTATTTAAATAGAATCATTCAGAATATGAATATTTCTGTATACTGAGGGTTATGACTTCAACATATGAACCTTTAGGCTGCGCACATGAACACAAGCTTTTTCATCACAGAGCCCATTGTATCCTCAACCTATGTTCCAGCAGAAACTGACATGATATTAAATATAGTTCCCAATTTAGAGTTAAGTAGTGAATTTACTAATAACTTCAAGGTTTTTTCCCTTGCACGTATATTATCCCAGAGGAGCAAGGGAATTGGCCTATCAACATAGGCCAGGATATTCTACCAAAAGAACATTAAACGAACAGCCACAGTAGGGGGCCAGTGAGATAGAACAGCAGGTAGGCCACTTTCCTTGCACGCAGCCAACCTGGGTTCGATCTCCAGCAACCCCACATGGTCCTCGAACCTGCCAGGAGTGATACCTGAGCACAGAGCCTGGAGTTACCCCTGAGCACAACTGGGTGTAACCTCAACCCCTCCCCCTCCCATACAAAATTTTAAGTACTTAATACTTTAAGTGTGATGAAGCTTATTTATTTTTTGAAATGGGATCTTTCCTCATTTATAAAGTATTACAAAAAGTTTGTGAAGGACTTTTCTTTTATTATAATTTTTTATCTTGGAACTATATCTTGAATGTATATTTCAGGAGCTACCATGGATTGGCATTTATAAGGAGACGCTGAAATGCGTGCCCACGAGAGCATCCTGGAAAAAAACAAATGAAGGTTTCCAGTGTTTTTCAAAGATCCTTAAGCAAAAGAAAGCATTATTTCTATTTTAAAGAATAAATATTGTCTTGCAGTTAGAATTCATTGCACTGTAAGCACTGTCCTCTCGTTGTTCATCGATTTTCTTGAGCAGACACCAGTAATGTCTCCATTGTGATACTTGTTGTTACTATTTTTGGCATATCAAATACATCACAGGGAGCTTGCCAGGCTCTACTATGTGGGCGGGATACTCTCGGTAGCTTGCTGGGCTCTCTAAGAGGGAGAGAGGAATCGAACCTGGGTCGGCCTCATGCAAGGCAAAAGCCCTACCTGCTGTGCTATTGCTCCAGCCCAGAATTCATAGAAAGGGGTTAAGTTCTAAGTTCTATCAGGGGATTCCCTATTTCTATCTTGGGCAAGTATGGCTATTTGTGTTTGTTCCCTGACGAAAGTGTCATCTTTTCTGGAGAAACTTACCTCCCCATATATACTATTCAAGAGTGGTTGTAAAAATTGTCACCTGACCAATTATTCTAGAAATGATGAGAGGTCATTTGGAGATAAATATTAATGCAGTTTAGTTCTAAGGAAAAAAAGTACCAACTTGAACATTTTAAGTATCTAAATTAACTACAAGATGAACCCTTTATTTTTTTTTGTCATTTCAACTGTACTTTTTAAAATTATTATTAGTGAAACACCATGAGGTACAGTTGTAGACTTACAACTTTTTGTGCTTGGGTTTCAGTTATACAATGATCGAGTATCCAGCCCTCCACCAGTACCCATTCTCCACCACCCCTAATTCCAGTATCCTTCCCACCCCCCATACCCCATCCCACCCTGCCTCTGTGGCAGGGCATTCCCTTTTGTTCTCTCTCTCATTTTGGGTGCTGTGGCATTGAGCAAATGCCAAAAGAGGCATTGAGTGGCAATCATGTTCGGTCTGTAGTCTACTTTCAGCATGCTTCCCATCCTGGGAGGATCCTTCCAACACCCTTTATTTGGTGCTCCCTTCTCTATCCGAGATGCCTTTACCCCTAGAGTATGCGGCTGGCCTCCAAGCCATGGAGTAAACCTCCTGGTACTTATCTCGGCTATTCTTGGGTATTAGTCTCCTATTTTGTTACTTTATGTTCCCCAGATGAAGGCAATCTTTCTAGGTCAGTCCTCTTTCTGACTCATTTCACTTAGCATGATACTTTCCATGTAGTACCACTTGTATGTAAATTTCATGACTTCATCCTTTCTATCAGCTACATAGTACTCCATTGTGTAAATGTACCAAATTTTCTTTAACCAGTCAAGATGAACCCTTCAAATTCCATATTATTGATGCTATTTCTGAAATTAATAACCAATATGTTCCCAAATAAAACGCCTTCAAACAGAGGTTATTATTTATGTGTTTTTTTTTAATGCACACCACATCCGCACCAAAGAGCAAAGTTATTCAGCAGTAACAAACTGCTTGACAAAGAATAAAAGGGAGTAGTACAAAGAACATGAAATGAATGTACTTTAAGAACTGGAGAAAAGACATTCTAACATCAGAGAGCTTTCCCACAACCAGAAACATATGAGTCATTCGGTACTCAGTGTTTCCCATTTTTCTTCGCTCGAAGCTTTGGCAGGTGTCAGGATAATTGACAACATTTGTTAGGGGCGGTATTGAGATCTTTGCTCTTGGATGTACTCATAGAGAGGGCTGGAACGCACAGGGACACTGACAAACTGACGCTTGCCGGGTTCCAGATCCTGCCTGAGGCTCTTGTCTTCCTGCGCCCTTCTATCCTGGAGTTGGCCACGGCTTTGCTCTCGCTCTTGGCGGCGCCTCTGCTCCACCTCCTGCTCCTGGCGAAGTTCTTCTTCCCTGAATTTCCTCTCGCGTTCCAGGCGGCCCCTCTGCTCTTGCAGCAGTTCCTGCTCCTGTCGGCGCCCTCTCTCCCTGCCAAACTGCTTCTCTGCCTCGTACTGCTGCTCCTGTTCCTGCCTGCGCCTCAGACCCTGCTCCTCTCGCTGCATCTCCTGGCGGCGCAGCTGCTGTTCTCGCTCCTCTCGTAGTTGCAGTTTCTCTTCACGGAATCTCCTGTCACGCTCCTCGCGGCGCCCCTGCTGCTCTTCGAGTTCCTGAAGAAGTTGCTCCTCCTCGAGGGACTTCCTGTCGCGAACCCCACTAAGTTGCTGCTCGCGTTCTTGGCGGCGCAGCTGCTGCTCTTCCCGTTCCCGCTGCAGTTGCTGTTCCTCCCGGAACCTTCTGTCGCGCTCCTGGCGAAGCTGTTGCTCGCGCTCCTGGCGGCGCAGCTGCTGTTCCTCTTCTCTGAACCTTCTGTCGCGCTCCTGGCGGCGCAGCTGCTGTTCTTCCCGCTCCCGAACTTGTTCCTCTTCACGAGACTCTGTGTCACGCTCCTGGCGGCGCAGCTGCTGCTCTTCCCGTTCCCGTTGCAGTTGCTGTTCTTCCCGGAACCTTCTGTCGCGCTCCTGGCGAAGCTGTTGCTCGCGCTCCTGGCGGCGCAGCTGCTGTTCCTCTTCTCTGAACCTTCTGTCGCGCTCCTGGCGGCGCAGCTGCTGTTCTTCCCGCTCCCGAACTTGTTCCTCTTCACGAGACTCTGTGTCACGCTCCTGGCGGCGCAGCTGCTGCTCTTCCCGTTCCCGCTGCAGTTGCTGTTCCTCCCGGAACCTTCTGTCGCGCTCCTGGCGAAGCTGTTGCTCGCGCTCCTGGCGGCGCAGCTGCTGTTCCTCTTCTCTGAACCTTCTGTCGCGCTCCTGGCGGCGCAGCTGCTGTTCTTCCCGCTCCCGAATTTGTTCCTCTTCACGAGACTCTGTGTCGCGCTCCTGGCGGCGCAGCTGCTGCTCTTCTTCTCTGTACCTTCTGTCGCGCTCCTGGCGAAGCTGTTGCTCGCGCTCCTGGCGGCGCAGCTGCTGTTCCTCTTCTCTGAACCTTCTGTCGCGCTCCTGACGGCTCAGCTGCTGTTCTTTCCGCTCCCGAATTTTTTCCTCTTCACGAGACTCTGTGTCGCGCTCCTGGCGGCGCAGCTGCTGTTCTTCCCGCTCCTGAACTTGTTCCGCTTCACGAAACTTTCTCTCGCGCTCCTGGCGAAGCTGTTGCTCGCGTTCTTGGCGGCGCAGCTGCTGTTCCCTTTCCCGTTGCAGTTCCCGCTCCTCCTCACGAAACTCCCTGTCGCGCTCCTGGCGAAGCTGCTGCTCTTCCCGTTCCTGTCGCCGCTGCTGTTCCTCCCGTTCCTGAAGTTGTTCCCGCTCGAGGAACTGTCTGTCGCGCTCCTGGCGGCGCAGCTGCTGCTCCCTTTCCCGTTGCAGTTCCCGCTCCTCCTCGCGAAACTTCCTGTCGCGCTCCCGGCGGCGCAGCTGCTGTTCCTCCCGCTCCTGAATTTGTTCCTCTTGATCGGTCTTTCTAAACTGTTGCTCGCGGCGCAGCTGCTGCTGCTCTTCCTGCTCCTCTCTCATCTGTTGCTCTTTCCGGAGGAACTGCCTGTCGCGCTCCTGGCTGCGGAGCTGCTGTTCTCTTTCCCGTCGCAGTTCCTGTTCTTCCTCGAGGAACTGTCTGTCTTCCTGGCGACGTTTTCTCTCTTCTCGTTCCTCTCTCAGCAGTTGTTCCTCTTGGAACTTCCTGTCTCTCCGCTGTTCCTCTCGCTCTCTCTCATACTCCTGTTCATCCTGCAGGAACTGTCTTTCCCGCGCCTGCAAATCCTCCAACTGCCGGATGGTCTCTTCATTCTCTCTGGGTTTGGAGTAGAGCCTGTTGTCACGAGCTTCTTTTTCTTTTTCGGGCTGCCACTGCCATTTCAGATCACTCTTCTCCGCCTCCCTGAACAGTCGCTGGCTGTCGCGACGCTGCAGCTCCTCCTCTAGTTGTCGCTCCCTCTCCTGACGCCTTCTCTCGCGTTCCTCTCTCTGCACTTCTTCCTCTTGCTGCAGTTCCTCTTCCCGATACTGCCTCTCGCGCTCCAGGCGCCTCCTCTCGCGCTGCAGCAGCTCCTCCTCACGCTGCAGCAGCTCCCGTCGGGCCGGCTTGGCGTGGAGCGCTTGGCGTCGTCTCTGGCTTTCCTCCTCCAGCTGCCACCTCAATTTCTGGTCGCCCCGCTGCTCCTCCTGACGTCGCTTTCTCTCCCTTTCCTCTTGGAGTCGTTCCTCCTCCTCCAGGAGCTGTCGGGCGCGCTCCAAACGCTGGAGCCGCTCCTCCTCCTCCTCCTCCTCCTCCTCCCGGAGCTGTCGGGCGCGCTCCAAGCGCTGGAGCTGCTGCTCTTCCTCAAGGAACTGCCGCTCCCGCTCCCTCTCTAGGCGCTGCCGGCGCTGTTCCTCTTCCTCCAGATGCAGTTCCCGCTCCAGCCGTTCCTCGGCCCTCAGCTGCCGCTGCGACTGCGGGCGGGCGGACAGCCTCTGGCGGCGGCGCTGGCTCTCCTCCTCGGCCTCCCACTGCCACCTGAAGGGGCGGCGCGGCTCCTCTGCGTCCCGCTGGCGCGCCCGCTCCTCCAGCTCGCGCAGCCGTTGCTCGCGCTCGCGCAGCCGTTGCTCCTCCTGACGGCGGGGCCGGGAGTAGACTTTGCTCTGGCGCGCCTCGACTTCGCTCTCCAGCTGCCACTGCCACCTCGGGGCAGTTCCCTCGCCGCCGAGCTCGCGGGCCCGCTCCCGCTCCACCTCCTCCTCCGGGAGCCCGCGCCTCAGCTCCTGCTCGCGCCTCAGTTCCTGTTCGCCCCTCAGCTCCTCCGCGCGTCTCTCCTCCTCCCGGCGCCTCAGCTCTGGCTCCAGTTCCCGGCTCTCTTCCTCCCGGCGGCGCCTCAGTTCTTGCTCGCCTCTCCGCTCCTGGCGCCTCTGCACCTCCTCGCGCCTCAGCTCCTGCTCCCGCCTCTCCTCTCGGCGTCCGGGTTCGCGTTCGCGTCTCGCTTCTTCCAGTTCGCGCCTCAGTTCTTGCTCGCGCCTCAGCTCGGCTTCGCGTCGCTCTTCCTGGCGCCTCGGCTCCTGCGCGCGCGGCTCCTCCTCGAGTTCGCGCCTCAGCTCTTGCTCGCGCCTCAGTTCTTGCTCGCGCCTCTGCTCCTGGCGCCTCAGTTCTTGCTCGAGACTCTCTTCCTGGCGCCTCAGTTCTTGCTCGAGACTCTCTTCCTGGCGCCTCAGTTCTTGCTCGCGCCTCTGCTCCTGGCGCCTCAGTTCTTGCTCGAGACTCTCTTCCTGGCGCCTCAGCTCTTGCTCGCGCCTCAGTTCTTGCTCGCGCCTCAGCTCTTGCTCGCGCCTCTGCTCCTGGCGCCTCAGTTCTTGCTCGAGACTCTCTTCCTGGCGCCTCAGCTCTTGCTCGCGCCTCAGTTCTTGCTCGCGCCTCTGCTCCTGGCGCCTCAGTTCTTGCTCGAGACTCTCTTCCTGGCGCCTCAGCTCTTGCTCGCGCCTCAGCTCTTGCTCGCGCCTCTGCTCCTGGCGCCTCAGCTCCTGCTCGCGCCTCAGTTCTTGCTCGCGCCTCAGCTCCTGCTCGCGCCTCAGTTCTTGCTCGCGCCTCAGCTCCTGCTCGCGCCTCAGTTCTTGCTCGAGACTCTCTTCCTGGCGCCTCAGTTCTTGCTCGCGCCTCTGCTCCTGGCGCCTCAGTTCCAGCTCGCGTCTCTCTTCTCCCTTGCGCCTCTCCTCCTCGAGCTCGCGCCTCAGCTCCCGCTCGCGCCTCTCCTCCTCCTCCCGGCGCCTCAGCTGCTGCTCTCGTGGCTCCTGCGCGCGCCTGCGCTCCTGCTCCCGCTCCGAGTGCAGTTCCTCGAGCTCGCGCTCCCGCTGCCGCCGCTCTTCCTCCCGGCGCCCTCCCTTGCTGGCCCAGCGCTCGGGCTGCTCCTCCTCCTCCTCCTGCTGCTGCTCCTCCTCCTGGACTCGGCTCAGGCGCGCCTGTTGCTCTTCCTCCAGGCGTTCGCGCCGCTCCCGCTGCGCGGGGGTCTCTCGCCGTTGCTCGTCGCGCTCCCAGGCTCTGCGCCTCTGCTGCTGCTGCAGTTCCTCCTCCTCCTCCTCCTCCGCGCGCTCTCGGCGTTGGCGCCTTTCCCAGCGCGGCTCCACCGCTCCGCGCTGCAGGTCCAGCTGCTCCCTCCGTGCCTCCTCCTGCTCTTCCTGGGCGGACTCCGTTTCCCGTGCCCGCCTGGCCTGCCTGCGTTCTTCCAGTTGCCGGTCCCGAGCCTCGACTCGCCTTTGGTCTTCTCGCCTGCGGCTCTGTGACGGGGTCCCCTTGCCCTCGCCCTTGGCCCCCGGCTCCTCCAGCCCAGCGGCCTGGCCGAGAGCGTAGTAACAAGCTTGAGCGACCTTGAAAATGAACAGGAGGAACTCGTTGAAATCGACTAGCCCGTTACAGTCCCGGTCCAGAAGTTGCAGGGTCAGGTCCACCGTCTCGGGGTCGTGCGGTCTCTGTGGCGAGAGGAAAACGAAAAGATCTTTAAACCGACCCTTCACAGGTCCGTGCACACATGCTTTGTGAATACTGTCACCCAAGAGACCTTAGGAGCGGTCAGAGGAATGTTCAGTGTGCGTAGCCTTCTTGTCCTTTTTTTTTTACCTAAAAAGTGAACTGCCCATTTTAAAGCAGTCGTTTCTTGGAAATTTTGAGCCTTGGAATTGAAGGTTCATCTTATTATCTCATTCCTACTTTGGACAAACTGGCAGGCTACCGAATGTAGCCTCCCCACAGGGCAGAGTCTGGCAAACTCCCCGTGGCGTCCCCAATATGCCAAATACCAGTGACAATGATGGGTCTCATTCTCCTAAAGAGCCTTGAATATAATCTCAGGGCTAGGATGAAAGAGACGTTACTGGGGCCTGCTCGAGGCAATCAACGAACATCAGGGTGGTCGTGATCATGTGATTAATACTAGCATTCGCGGCCGCGCGACATCTTATTATGACATCTTATCATCTCATTCCTACTTTGGACAAACTTGCAGGCTATCGAATGTAGCCTGCCCACAGGGCAGAGTCTGGCAAACTCCCCGCAGCGTACCCAATATGCCAAATACCAGTGACAATGATGGGTCTCATTCTCCTAAAGAGCCTTGAATATAATCTCAGGGCTAGGATGAAAGAGACGTTACTGGGGCCTGCTCGAGGCAATCGGAATTGAAGGTTGACCCAAAGAACAGGCTTTTTCTTTAGCTGGGTAACTCAGAACCAGCGCATGCTCAAAGGAGAAAAAAACACGGGCATTTGTGGTCATTTCTGTCTGAAACAGCCTGTGCTCTTGCTTTGATTTTTATCTGTCGTCTAAAATCATAGCAGATCATTTATGTTGATGCCCTTTTAACGAGGATACAGACTGATTCTAAGGGCTGAAATGTGGAAGTCAATTTAAGTTTGTTTCAAATCTCACTGGATCTCACATCTTTGTGAAGCACGTCCCACGAACGGGTTATTCTCCTTGGCAGTGCCATCCATCACACGAAATATTTGTCAACAATTTTCCAGTATGAGCTACTATGCCAATTAAGTACAGTTTAACTCAGAAATGAATGGGGAAATGGTACTCTAGAACTGTTGTATGTGAAATGAATATGAAGTCATTGTTCTTTGATCGCTTCTGAGGCTAAATTATATAATCCTAAATTAATGGAAATTTCCTTTTCTGGTTATTTCTTACCCGAAGGACATCTCCAAATTCCCTTTCAAGGAGATTCTTCAGGTCTTTCTTGCTTAATGCTGCTCCGTCACAGTCATGTGAGGCATATTGATTGAAAGTTTCAGTGATGTCGAAGATACATTTCAGAAGTGGAGACATTTTTTCCCTTTTCTTTAAGTTTAAGTAAACCTAGAAACAAGAAAATAACAGCCGGAATCAAAACTGTGTTTCTGGTCTCGGGGATCTTCATCGCCTCTGATTCACCAGATTTGATTTTAATTTGATTTTAAGACAGTAATTAGTTTTAATCTGGATTTTCAGGGCAGTATATCTTTGAATGTACTTATGAAGACATCTCAAAGCAGGAAATCATCTTCAGCTTTTGAATGTCCCAAATTTGTTGTCCAATCTGAACTATCCATCCGTTTTCCTGTACTCAGTCCCATTTCCTTCGCATATTTAAGATCACAGTAAAGAGGGGTGGAAAAATTTAGACTTGATATGTTTCTACTCATAATCATCTCCCTCTAACATTGAACAAAGAAGAGAAGTGAAAGCCAAAAAGTGAAGAAAGATGTAAGAGTATCTTAAAGGGGTCAGAAACTGTGCACTCCTACTTACAGTATCAACAGATTTTATAATCATTAAAAAAGGAGAATATGGATTATTTCCTAACATTATTGTACATAATAAATTTAAATCAGGGGCCAGGCAGTAGTACAGCTGGTAGGGTGCTTGCCTTGCATGTGACTCACCTGGATTCGATCTTTGGCAGCCTGTATGATTCTCTGAGCCTGCCAGAAATGATCCCTGAGCACAGACCCGAGAGTAAGCCCTGAGCATTGCCTGGTGTGGCCCCCAAAAAATGTATCTCATATTTGAAAATTTAAATCCATATTTAATTCAAATTTTAGTCCATAAGAGATTTAATTGCATTTCTGAAATTAAACTTACTTCATAGTAAAAAAGACATTATAATATTTATATATGCTAATACAGAAAGAAAAGTGCATATTCCCTAGCTTAATTCAGACCTCTTAAAGTAAAGTAAGTAAAGGCCCTCCCGTTGATCATCGATTTGCTCGAGCGGGCCCAGTAACGTCTCCATTGGAGACTTTGTTGTTACTGTGTTTGGCATATCGAATACGTCACGGGGAGCTTGCCAGGCTCTGCAGTGCGGGCGAGATACTCTCGGTAGTTGCCGGGCTCTCCGAGAGGGGCGGAGGAATCGAACTCGGGTTGGCCATGTTGACTGCGTGCAAGGCAAACGCCCTACCGCTGTGCTATCTCTCCAGACCTCTTATAGATTATTAAAAGCCCTGAGAAGTTTTTGGCTATCAGAGTCAATGTGTCAAGCTGACCTAGAGAACTTTGAATAATATTGACCTTTTGGATAGCTTTTTGCCAAACCCAAATAAACTCTTTGAATCTTGGCACTATTTAAAAAATACAAAAATAAACACCCCCTGAACCCTGAAAAGCAAAACAGAATCTAGCATGCCACAGGTCAATGTTAAGAGAATACTTGGAGAGCTTAACTGGTTCTTAGAGTATAGTGACTCGTTTAATTGGACTCTTTTTCATTTTTATTAATTAAAAAATTTTGCTGTTCTGGGGATGGAACTCAGGGTTTCACACATGCAAGCATGTGTTTTGCCACTCAGCCACATCCCCAACCTTTACCTGGCTTCTTTACTCACCAACTACAGTACCTCTGATGTCATAACTGTATCAAGATAGTTCATGTTAAGTAGAACAAAGGCAAAACAAGAACTGAAGACAAACTTTTGAGGTGGCAGTTTTTTAGCAAGATGGCCCATTCGAATCACATATGACCTTCTCTGACATGCAAATAAACTTGCAGAGTTCAGAGTTTTCGGAAAAGAACTGTGTGTTCTCCATTTGAATGATGATTCCAACCATAGAAGATGGCATGGCGTTTGTGGAACTTAGACATTCTTTAAGACACTGATACCCGAGCCAGAGCAATAGTACAATGGCGTAGGGTGTTTGTCTTCCACGCGGCCAACCCAGGTTCACAATCTCTGGCAGCCCATATGGTCCCCCAAGCACTGCCAAGAGTAATTCCTGAGTGCAGAGCCAAGAGTAACCCCTGGGCATCACTGGGTATGCCCAAAAAGAAAAAAAAAAAGAAACCGATACCTTCTGGTACATAGAATATACTCACCCCCTCCAACATCTAAAACAGCTAGACAATGAATAGTTGTACAGAAGTACATCATTCTGTTGAATAGACTTACCCACTTCACCAGAAGAAGTTGAGTGCTCTCTGACACTGCTGGCAGGTGTTCTGGGCAACTGGGAGCTGGGCCTTTTATAGGGGGTTTAATTGTGCCCTGGAGAGCAACTTGGGGAGGAGACACCCACTCTGTGGGATGCCCTGATTCATTTCAACCAAGCCCAACTCCACCTCTGTCTCCAGGAATGGCTTGTTTATCTCACTACTTGCTCACGTAGCTATTTGGCATCGGGTTCACAGATCTTGCCTCCTGACAGGGCAGTGACCCCACCTAATAGGAAAAGGTAGAATATTTAGCAGAAGTTTTCATTAGTTCAGTTTTTCAGATTGTTTAAGTGTTAAAGAGGAAATAAAATGACTAAAAGTTGTTATTAAATAACTTATTCACTAAATTCAAGTGATACTTAGTTACTAAGACATTGAATAATTTCAGAACTTTAAATTTTGACTTCCTTAAAAAGTAGTAACCTCTGAGCCATTCATTTTATAAAGAATCTAAGTTCTAGGGTGGAGTCAAACAGAAATTTTGACAAAAGTGATGAGAACCAGTTTATTTCCCCCTGAGACAGACAGTCCATGAAGAACTTCATATGGACCTACCTGATCCAATTCTAGGATACTGAGAGACTGTGAGAAATTGGTTTTAGTTTCTTCTCTTAAATTGTGCAGTGAGAAAATTTTGCATTTGTATTATTGGGCCTGTAGGAAGTCATTTTTATGCATAGGAAGACTGTTTTAAATAAGTAAACAATTTTGGAGGACACTTTTATTTATTTATTTATTTATTTATTTATTTTTAATTAATTTTTTAAATTGAATCACAGTGATAAAAACATTTACAAAGTTGCTCATGATTGAATTTCAGTCATATCCAGCACCCATCCCTTCACCAGTGTACTTTTCCCACGAGCAGTGGTCCCTGGTTCCCTTCTCCCCTCCACCCCTACTTGCCACTATGATAGGCACTTTTCTTTTCTCTCTTTCCCTCTGAAGGATACTTTTTAAATGTGCTCTATTTAGTTGCTCATAAGAAAATGTGAGTTCTGAAAATTAACTTTTAGGGACGTTGCATCTAAATGAAGTTTTCTCTTTTCTTTTTATCATTTGCATATTGATGCCCCTGGAGAAAAAGAGCTGGTGTAATGCATTATTGTAGATACAATCATCCTTCTCAGCTCAAGTTACTAATGACTATGACACCTAAACACTTGACTCTGCTTCTCCTGGAAGCACATTAACGTAATCCGTCATTCTAGCCCATTATATCTGTCAGGGCTTTCTCAGCTCAGTAAGTCATTTGCAAATCTCATTGCTGTTTTATTGTAAGGAACTCCATTTTATTCCTGGTTGTCAGTGACTCCCACCCTTACATTTTATAATATATGAAACTTCTGTTCACAATAAGCTTATGAAGGCTAGTAGATGATTCAGTAGCTTTCAGAATTTGTTTTCTCCTCTGTGCATCAGAGGAAAGTACTGGTTTTCTGAATTTTGAGGTGATTCAGTAGGGTTTAATAGAAAAGGAGAATTTTGAGGAATTTAAATCTTGGTGGCTGGTCTTATTTTTAATTCACTTTTTAATGCCAAGGATTAAGCCTAGGCCTCAGAGCACAATGTATATGCTCTACTGCTGAACCACACCCCTGGCAGAATAGCTGTTTTTGTTTGTTTGTTTGTTAAATATGTCTTACTGGTCTAAATGCTAGTAGAGTTGAATTCTATTTTTCTCCTTACTTGCTGCCATCCCAAATGTGGAATAAAGAAAACAGTGGAAGTGACAGGCAGTAGACCATTGAAAGTCTGGGTCAGGCCTGCCTCACAAAGGATTTCAGCACTGAAATTTGAGTTTTAGGGGTTTTTCCTAAGACTATCAACTTATTCTTGAAATGTTAATTAGCTTGATATGGTAGTTTTTAAAGTAAAGAGTAGAGATTTCTCTTCATTGTCTTCTATTTAGTAGATTTTATCACTATCACTGTCCTCCTGTTGTTCGATTTTGCTCGAGCGGGCCCAGTAACATCTCCATTGTGACACTTATTACGGTGTTTGGCATATCGAATACGTCACGGGTAGCTTGCCAGGCTTTGCTGTGCAGGCGAGATATTCTCAGTAGCTTGCCGGGCTCTCCGAGAGGAGAGGAGGAATAGAACCTGGGTCGGCTGGGTCAGCCACGTACAAGGCAAACGCCCTACCTGCTGTGCTATCACTCCAGCCCAGTATATTTTATACAGATTTTTATTCTTTGAATTCTAGAAAAGGACCATCATGAGCATTGTATATCCAGTAACCACAAATCATCATGGAACCTCTTTCTCACACTTAAGAATCCTTCAAGAAAGGCCCTGGACAAAGCCACCTTATGATGTTGTGTGTCCCACACCCATACACCCAATTTTATGTTGTGTGATCTGTTAGGGAACTTCAACTCAGGTTTTGGGTGCATTTCTATGTTTCCATTACTTTTTTGTAGCTCAAAGGGGACTGGACACTTTATGTTCTGTGAAAATAAAAAGAAAAAAGTAATCATTTTAAATCATGGTTGAGCAAGCAAAATAAATATGGAAGAAAACCCAAAAGGAAGACATTTCTGGTTAGTTTTGAGAGAAAAACCTGAAATTGCATTCAGAACTTTTGTTCTATTTGGAATAAAGCCACACCTTAAATTCAGTGATGACTTACTATCTACTTTTATTTAAAGTCAGTATTACACCAGGAAAAATACTAACAAATCTTTAAATTTTTAATTAAAAAATGTAAGGGAATTAGCCTTTCTTTCTTTCTATTCTTGGGTCTTCAGAAGAAAGATTTAAATTAGATTTTATTTAAAAGCAAAGTTCTAAAATCAGGCTAAATATCTTAGTAATGCAGTGACCATCTTTGTTATATAGTATCCATTTAC